CCGTAGCTAACCTGTATCAGCATCCAGTACAAGCATCCAGTCCGTGTCATATAAATACTGATTTACAGCACAGTGTTTTGTGTAGTACACCTGTAAAGTCCACCGTAACTTTGCCAGCAAAGGTCTCTTCAGTTGATTTTGGAGTCTTTGAACTGGAAATTGCTGTTTTTCCTCTAGAGTTCAAACCAGCTTCCCAGAAAGCGCTGATTCGATTGCATGATGATGCGAAGGTGACAAGTTATCCCACCAACTTATGGTTCTTCTAATATCCCCTTGGCGAAAACGGAGGGTCCGGTGACCGAGAGTNTAGTCAGTCACTCACTTCTGTCCCGTGCTCCATCCATCTCGTACAAATCCATGAGCTTTATGATAGATGCGGACTTTTCCAGGCCATAATCGTCTACTCCCTAACGCCTCCCTCACACAAGTGACCATTCCCATGAAGGTTGCGTATCCTGTAGCTGTTTTCCACATTCGCTCACAGATGTCATAGATAGGTTCCACATTAGGAACAAGCAGTTGAAGAAGTGCCAACTAAAACAGACCAAATATTCCTCAGAAATTTGTTTTCAAGCAGTTTCTCCTTTACTTACTGCATTACTATTCAGCCTTAATAAGATTAATTTTGTTAAACAATCAAAGTAAATATATTCTCGAGACTGCAAATGAAATTGTACTGAGGTGTGATGTTAGGAAAAATAGGTAGTAGTGCATAAATATCAGTTATTTCCATTGTATTTCTTCTACTTCGATGAGGAAAAATACAGTATTGAGCAAAACCATACCATCAATCCGCCCTGATCAAAGCCATGCCACGTTTCATCATTTTGTTTGAATTCGAAGTCTGCCCATGCTTGAAGGAAGTGATGGCCGAACGGTGAGTTCTTTATCTGAAAACTTTCGAAGCTACACTATATGAAGTGTGTTCCATGACCATACTGCCCAAGTCGGAAAAAAACAGGTCATCAAGGTATTGCCTCTGTCAAGGAATGACTATAGCACAAATGCCATTTGGCTTTGGAGCTTATGCTAGACTTGTCATTGCCTCCATTTCGGTCATATCTCTCAAGCGACCCACCTGACGCTGCCATTCTAATGGCTCATTCGACGTCCCAGAACTACATTTTTGATGGGAGCACTAGGTAACTATTCACAGTTTATTCAGATTGTACTCCTGTTTTTTGCTCATTGTTTGTGACTAGGGATACCACGAAGCGCACATTGATCGACACCTAATCAGCAACATTCCCAACAGTTTGTAAATAGCAGTAAACGGTAGTGATCAAGTTAGTAGTAAATAAGGAGCAGCGAGGTCGCTGACTTTGTTCGACCAAGCTGATTCCAACAATGAGCTTGCTCACTGGAAGATTGCTTGTGGGCCCGCCTTCAACTCTATCCCCTGTCGTCCTCAACGCAAGCCTTTGAGCGACCTGACATGTAGTGGCTGTAATACCTGCAGCCGGATGCGAATGCGCCTGCGACGAGGCGCAAAGTATAAACTGCAGCAGCGGAGCATAGAACTCGAAGCACCCCGTGTCGCAGAGCGATAAAAATGGCCGCGTTTGCACTCGGTATACCTAAAATTTGCTATTCGAATAACCCCCAGTTAACTAGAGACCCAGCTGATACAGGTAATAATCAAAGTGCATAGGAGCTACCCAGATCAATGGTGTCGCATTTGCAAAGTTCAATACGAGAAAGTCTTATAGTTCTTTCTGTACAGCTCACGTACCAGATAATTGCCAGCGGAGAATTCCCAATTGAAAAAACGTTCTATCAATATAACGTCGACTCTATCATCAATATACTCCTCAATGCAGTGATCAGGATTCACAACCCCTGAAATAATTAGCTTACCATTGCTTTGTATCAAAGTCGCGTCTTGAAGTATCGACAACATCCCTCAATGGATGATCCGTAGCTAACCTGTATCAGCATCCAGTACAAGCATCCAGTCCGTGTCATATAAATACTGATTTACAGCACAGTGTTTTGTGTAGTACACCTGCAAAGCCCGTCGTAACTTCACGAGAAAAGGTCTCTTTAGTTGATCTTGGAGTTTTTGAACTGTTTTTTTCACTAAAGGTCAAACCAGGTTCCCAAAAAGCGCTGATTCAATTCGCATGCAAACGGGACACGTTACCTCCACCAGCTTATGGTTCTCCTAAGCTCCCCTTGGCGAAAACGGAGGGTCCGGTGACCGAGAGTATCCCTTTTTATTCCGAAGGTTTCACAGCTTTTGTAGACTGTAATGATCGCTCGGAATCAGGCACTGTAAATACTGAGGGCGTTATGAAATTCGAATACCAGTCCCTTCGAGATCTGCCTATACAGTCTCTCCTACATCCCCCAACGAAGTGATAGAGGCCCGCTGTCAAGGTCCAGCTTGGGGTTTCAACCCAGCTAATTTAACTACAGTCCAGATTCTCGACTGAAGCTTACTACTTGGCTCACGATACCACCATTCTGATGGTGTCCATTCATCAAAACATACCGATTTATGTAAACTGCAAGACTCATTAACTACCGGATCATTGTTGATATCAACCATAAGCAAAGTGTAGTTCACAGTCTTCAAGTAGCATTTCAAGCTACGCTGAGCTACATCGTAGAGCCTGAACATTTATATTCAAATAGCTTGCGCTACAATGAAATTTGACGGTTGAATGACGAGATCTAAAAAACAGCAAATTAAAGGCATAGTTCAGGATGACTTCGAGGTACCTGTTTTTATTCGAAAAGCGAAAGTATAGATGGAAACAGTTAACCGGTAGTGGAGAAAGCGAAAGATTTCGCCGATTTCGAGAGAAAAAGGCTCCTTGAAAGTGGGGAAAACAGGGGTTGGACGAGATTGCCATGACGGAAAGAGCAGGTCGGACGAGATTTCAGTTATTGCAATTGCACAAAAAGCTGACTACATGAAGTCAGAACTGCACAGAGCTGTCTTTCACTGTAGCTATGGATCATGACAAGTTGTTTGAACTTCCTACATGGGTTCCCTCGTGATCGGTGCAGCCTCTAAAATGCCGGTGAAACTCGTCCGAGGATACGCACTGGCCTATCTTTGAGCATTTATTACTCCCTACTAGGCCGTTTTCCAGCCTAATAGTGCCAGATATGGTATACGCGGGGGCCCCAAATTCATCTTGTGGGAGAATCTCCGAAACCATTTTTATCGTAAACTGTGCCTTTCAGTAAAACGGGCCTGAAATTGTTCATTTCCATACTCTAAAACTTATGCCAACACTGTGTTAACTCCTGAATTCTCAGACTGGGAGTGATCCCTTGAAGAGGGATTTGCAGTACAACTTTATCCCTGGATCTTATGTCAGAAGGCGACGAAGGTTTTCAAATTATCTGCATAAAAGCCTCTGAGTCAGGAACTGTTGAACTAATATCAAACAAAGGCAAATAAAGAGTGCGAATCAATAAAGCCCATGGCTTCAACCAGTGATTGGAGTATGCCAGAGTTTCTTTTTCAATAGACTTTTCTTCACTCGTGGCTGTGAAATAGGCCTTTCCAAAAAATAAATAAATAAAATGGTCATACCCTTTATTGAGCTGTCGATCGTGGGCCACGAAAACCGTGATTTTTCCATAGTAGGGAGGGCATTCATTCATGTTATGACGCTTGGGAAATTCGGCAGAACTAAATTGGTCGGTACTCATATCATCGCTACTGTACACGGTAGAAAAACACATCCTTTGTGACTACACAAGATATGGCCCTTATCAGGCCCACCAAAGGATTTGCTAACCAATTCATGTGGCCCAATCAATCGATCAATCAATAAGTATGTTTGTGACAAAAAACTTACCCTTTGTCAGAAATGTGGCGTTTACTTGATTGTAATGCTTTCATTGTGAATTGATCGTTGTGAAGTAATATATGAACGCATATAACGGTTGTTAACAACGAAACTACCAAGAGAACAAGGGTTATCCTCTTTTTGAGTTTGTTGTGGCTCCAAGTTCGAGTATGTTCAGCAGGCCAGCGGATGGGCATTCTGTCAGCATTCACTAAATTCAAAATGGTAGTCTAATATTGCAACGTCCTCGGATGGATACAAATGAAACATATAGAATAGGTTGAAAACTAAATGCTCAGACAACTTCTGGAGGTGCTCATGAAGGAACAGAAAAGCAAAGGATTATGAAGCAGTCTGTGCTACATATGAACCTTCTGACATGTGTTTTATTTGTTCAAGAGGATTGATACAATCCGTTGGAAACTGGCCCCCGATAATTTTTGTCTGAACGTGGCAATCATTTCACTTTAAAACAGAAGCCAAGTTCATATTGCATCTCGAAAGTAGGATTCATCATGACCAAGAGCTCCAAAATTATGAAATTAGAATCTGCACGAAGAAACGTCACGGATACGGCAAGAGCAACTTAATGGAATGTTATCTGATGAATCCCCTTTGTCCGAGATTTGGACAAACACGGGCAACATGCGGGAATTTCGAAAAATCGTTCTGCTGGTGTAGTAGCATGAGGCGCACTATCACACGTGCATAGTCCACGGTTCGAATCCCGAATCGGTATCCGCCGAGACTAACCGAGCCTCCCATACCTGCGAGGTCGGTCAATTGTTATCAAACTTGTCTGGGAGGACAAAAGCACTGACTTGTACATTGGCTGGCCATCGCAAGTCATTGTATAGGGCACAGAAGCGCTAAAAAACGCCATGACAACTCTGAATGGAAGTCGATTGCGTGGCGGAGCTCAGAAATGCGATAGATTAATGCCAAAAAATCTATCCTTTACTCTTCATTCTACTCCTTGAGCTACAACAGAATCTGGGCAACGATGCAAAATTGTTTATGAAGTTTTGTTGATAAGTTGTGAGAATGTGGTTGTCTGAGCTATGTAATTGGCAACAAAAACTCACTTCTGCCTCATCCACGTGTTGGAAATTTTTTGTCGTCCAATCTTCTGTTGATATAGTGAAAACGAGCAGATGAAAAAGGCAAATGACGTCCTTTTCGTGAAATCTCTATTCCTCTAACCAAATCTACCACCCCACGTGGATTATCTCGATACGTGTTGAAACGTCTTCATACCGAGATAACCACAGGCAAACCGGTGATAGAACTGTCAAGCAAATTTTCACGGTTTATTTGCATTTATAGTATTATGGATACCCCATGCATCCGAGTTTATTTATATTATGAATATCATATTATTATGGATTATTTAATTTTATTTATAGTATTATGGAGTTGCATGCATCCATGCATCCGAGTTTTCTTGAAAATTAGAGCTTTGTTGACCTAAACAGTGGGTTCAACGTGTCTTCTCTTACCATTCTGCATACACTGAGCTTTGACCTCTTTTACCTGAAGCATTACTAGAAAGTTGTACTTGTGATGATAGAAAGGAGTCGAGGAAAAGAGGAGAGTAAGGGGAGAACGGAGACTGTGGAGAGAGAAGGTGAGACGAAACGGGACCAAAGGTTGTTTCATTTCATCATCGTCATCAAAACATTCGTTTTTTTTTCGAGCACCCGACATGTTTGGCATTTCCAGCAATTGCTTCAGCATTTCGATGTTAAAGTGAAACAAACCGCCCCTTCCTACCCTCCCCCCCCCCCTCGCTTAACTAAACTAATGAATATGAGCTTTCTTGGACCACATCTATGGCTTTGAACCGTTAGTTCTCATGTCTTCTTGGGTTTCCTCTTTACACGAAAATGAGCTCAGTCAACCTACGTCGTGGCTCCTCCACAGTCTTCCGGACAAGAAAAAAGTTCAAGCCCCTGGATTCGCATATATTTTTGATTCGAGGGAATTACTGATTGTTCCGCCCCATTATCCAGCTCCCTTTCTCAACCTTGAGTGATTTACTGTGGAGTAGAAAGCACTTTCTCTGGGCAGCATACCATAGCCCTCGTCCATTTTGATCATTTAGGCTTTGATTTAATGGACCTGGTGCTGTCACAGTTATCATTACAACTTTATTATATAAATTATGAATTAAAAGCCTAGTTATACAAATACAATAGTATTCATCAAATATCTACACCGAGTACAAGCACAGGTATATAGCAAATAACTGAAAAAAAGCAAACAAACAAAAGCATCAATGAAGGGTTTCAATGATATAGAAGACTGGTCTCGTCTATTGATAAATCAGAGCAGGATATGGAAGAGGTATTTCCAAAGATGTCCTAAAATACAAAGTTACTCTTTGCTCATAATCATGGCCTAAAACTCAAACGTACCTGCTGTCCTAGGCTACTGTAGCCTTGGGGATATGTTATGGTGCATGGAGTTAGATATGGTTCAACAGCCTCTGGCCTTGGTGCAGGAGTTGGAGAGAGTCGAGGTAGTGATTGCGTAGGAGGACTTTCGAGAGGAACCAGGAACTCAGTCAGTACCGATAAATCGTCGATGTGGTGCTGAAATCGCAGTTGATTTAAGAAGATACGACCACGCAAATTTCACTTTGACCTGACCAAAACGTACCGACAAAATATCATTTCCCTCCTTTTCGATCGTTGTTGAAGGTTCTTCGGTAACAGTAGCCGTAGTTTCGTAGGACTGGTAAGACGGTTCAATGAACACTGGGCTGTATGGTTGAGATAAACAAGAGTCACTCGAGTTGAATGAATCAGAAAACGAAGATGAATTGTCTGATGGTGGAGGAGTGAGAATGGAGCACGGGATCGGAAGATATCCAGGCGATGCGACTGGGAACTCATAAGCCATTTCAGGACTGCCACATGATTGTGAGGATACTGAAGTGGCAGGACTGGGAAGTTGAGGTGGTGTCACGATTGAACAAGGAGAAGGATACGGTTGGAAACCAGCGTGATGACTCCTACTCCCAGACGAAAGTGGTGTACGGTAAGGAGCTGGATTATAACGGTGAGCCGGAACAGGTTGACCTGAATTGCATTGAATTTAAAAGATTCGGAGATCTACAATGAAGAAGTAATTCAGGTGCTTACCATAACCTTCCGTTGACCACGTCTGAGGGCTTTTTATGATTCCTTTTCGTTCAAATGGAAACTGTGCTGGGACGTCGCGGGGCATAGCCGAAAGTGGGATTTGAGGAAGTCTGAAAAGAAAACGCGTGAGCGAGCGAAAGGGAAAAAACACCTTGGAACTTACCCATGACCAGTGTAACCAGGGAAAAAGGAGTACTCGCCCTGCTTTAGCCGTTTCCACAGTCGAACGGCAGCCATAGTGATGTGTTCACAAGCTTGTAGTGCTCTTGATATGTTAGTAAAGTTCATCTGCAATATTTTGACACAATTTTTTGAAATTTGAGAGAACTGCTAGTCAAAAACTTCTCAGAGGATGAGTGGGCTACACCAGATACCGTCCATCCGCAGAGTGCCTTCGGTGCTGGATACACGTTGAATTCAGTTGAAGTGTCTGGCATCGAACTTACCTTTGTTCCCATAGCCGCATTGTATGAATCAGTGAACTTCCTTGTATTCCATATCTTCACCCCGAATGGACCACCGTACCATGAACACAGGGTATCCTGATGTCGGTCCGATAGCAGATGCAGAATAAAACGAAGTATCGGCGACGCACAACATTCTGAATTGCCTGGTTATTCCTTATCCATCGGAATGGTCACAAAAAGTACCAACTTACTTCTTAGGAAGTGAACCTTTTCTTGGCTAGACAGTATCGGTGGCACATAATCATTTTTGGTAATGCTTCCTAAAACACGAGTCCTTCGAAAAGTTTCGAATACTCTGACAGTTCAATATACAGGACCTTTACTGACTAACCTTCATAAGCAGCTTCATCAGCGCGGCCATATTTCTCGCCTTCTCTACCGGGTTGCAGATGTGACTTGAGGACGGCTGGGAAAGCCTGGAAGAGGGTGAATGGATGTTCACCAAAATCATAAATCGTTCATATTTAAGGTGAATCATATCGCTTAGGAAGTAATTAGCGATATCCGCGTTAGGGTGTAGCATCGAATGGAAAAAGAGTTGTAAGTGTGGATCTATGTATAGAGGGAAGACTCACCGTTAAATTCTCAGAAACTTGAGGAATGCAATGTAATCTGCTATAATTGAGATTCATTCGTCTTTGAAGACTAACCAGAACTGCACGGAATTAAACTAGGTAATATATAGTAAGACAGTTTGCCGATATTATACTTTCCCATCGTGAGCATCCCGAAGGTCGACCACCTTAGCCCCCTGTGGGCGCTGTGCTCTGAACCCTATGGCAATGGGAAAGGCCACTCACCTTGGGAACATGGTGGGAATAAGACGGCAGCCAGCCCTGTGGCAACGACACCATGTCATTTCGAGGTCAATCTCTTGAGTTCTGAGCGAAATATGCTCTCATTTTGTATAATGTAATGGTATTTTCAAAATAAGAGTTATTCGATACCTCAGTTCTCATTTTTTCTGGTGTTTACTGTATGTATATCTAAATAATGTAAAATTTTATGTTATCGTTCTGGATTATATCAAACGGCCAGCACAAATGGGTCCATCGAGTAGGCAGCTCATGGGTAACACGAAGGAAAACTGATTTACTGCGTCTGATCTATAAAATCTGTATCAGTCTGAAGTTGGGCCTTTACGATCCGAAACGATTGATGTTGACATTAATCTTGTTTTGCAAGGCTAGCAAAACAAACATTCCAAACTACTAGGATGATAATGTCCTTACATTTCAAGCCGTGTTTGGCCAATTCCTAGCCTCAGATTCCCTGTCACTGAGATGGTAGCCTGCTTTTGTAGGAATTCATCTTGAATAATTTTTCTTTGTTCGCTCTGCCTCTTCATAAAGTTGATGAATTCAGTCGAATATTCATAAAATTACGTGAAGCATCTAACGGATCTTTAGACTTCATACTGAAAACCCATACCTTCTAAGGGACTGGATATTGAGTTGGATATAGCGCTCCTCTAGAAACCCGATCGGCTGTACACTTTCTGGCCAAATGCTCATAGGGCCATTTCCTTCAATACACTTCATTCCTGTTTGATTCTGGTGATTCTCACTGTCCACGGCTTATGCCAGTTTCTCCACTGCTCGTCTTTCTGAACCGCTTTAGCATTCTTTGTAGAAAATTTCAAATGCTGAAGNCACTGATCAAATCAGCAGTTATTTGCGTCGCGATAAGGCCGTTTGAGTGATAAGAAGTGACTTTCAACGAAAAAACCCTTGTGGTTGCCGGCTGGTCACAGTACAACTCTTATCTGCAAATGTTCAATGTTTTCTGGATTGCAGACTGGCACAACAATGATTCCATCCAAGCTTTTTGAAAATATTCCGTCTTCTCCCTTGCTTACAATTAGTAAGCTTATGAAGCCAAAGACGAGCGTGGCTTCTTCTCGGGCTTCACGTCATTATTTGCAAGTATATAGCGTATTTCCCTTTGCTACTTTCAAAGTGTTTTCTGACCTCAAGGAATGTTGAGCAAAAAAAAAAACTTATGTATGTTTTCAGCGAACTTCTTATTAAACGTTGCAGTCTATGTAAAAGTATAAACACGTGGTTTAGTGGCTGAGATCTGTAATTTCTCGCGTCAGGCTATCCTTCTATTCATCGTTTGATAATACAGTTCTGTGACAATTTGCAGTCTAATTGTGGAGGTCATCCCTAAAATTGACAATAGGAGTCAGATGCATGGCGCATCCCGAAGGTGCTTGATCTTTTGATGTTCCAACATTGCCCATAATCTTAATAGGTTTTCGAGACACTAATAAATGAGTGGCCTTCCAGATAAGGTGGTGATCGTTTCTGTCTGAGAACAAAGATCGCCCGTCGTAGGCGTAACCGACCGACGGCTAGCTGGCCATCAATGTTCGTCCATTCATTTTCTCCTTCTTTCGTTTCTTCGTAGTGCTATCTTTTCGGATACGCGTTGCATTTTACACTGCAGTTGTTTTTAGATCAACTACTTTTAATAGTATGCTTTAATTCAATAAATCCATTAATCTAATAAATAAATTACTCTTATTCATGTTTACCAGCATAGAGAATAACAAAGCGTTGTTAACTTTCCACTAGTTGTCAATAACCTCGAGAAATAATAACTAGCTTTTCTACATTTATATCTCGTCTGTCCGCAACTCTTTCAGTGTCAGCTTCTTTACATTACTCTAAAATTTTCCATTTATGTCAACCAGAAAGTTAGACCGTAATGTAAAGTTAATATTCAACGGAACAGAGTTAGAGAAGTCCTTAGATAAATACTGTAATAACAGCTTCATATGAGATGTAGTGCTTTTTTTTTTGAGCAGCGATTTCACTCCTTGGTCCGGAAAATAAGTGCCTCCCAGCAAGTTTGCTCGTTGTTACACAGCCTATTGTTTATACGAAAACGTTCTTTGCATTTTTTGTAATGTAGTCGAGTACGATATAACCTTGGCTTTCATTCAAATAGGACAATAGATCTTCTTTTTTGTAATATTTCTGGCATATTTCCAGTGATATGATGCTTGGGAACATGACTTGAGTATTCACATTTTTTTACCAGGATTTTGTTTAGCTGTAATGGCATCTAATCACATCTAACAAGCTTAACAAGCTTGTTCCATCTTTTTTTTGTTGCAGAAATAAACGAACTTTTGCCACGCATTCATATTGTGGGGGTGGTGGAGAACACATCATTTAGGCATAATAAAATCACAAAAGGGATGGTTTTTTGAGAGCTGGAGTAAATGTTGGGCTGGAAAAAAACCAACTTTATAAAGAAAGACCAAATTCAGCAGAATGACCGCAGAGTTCAGAAAAGCTCATATGAAAGCATAGATCGATATACGAAAGCCCAGAGAGACGTAAAAAACCACCAACATTGTACGGCCTCATAGCCATGCCCTTCACATCAATCATGGCTTGACACCTCAAGCCTGACCGAGAGGTTGGTAACTGTTAAAGCCAGGCGAGATTCTTAAGCCTGCTCAAATTGTAAGTCTTCCTCGTCTCTCGTGTGATCCCTATGAACCTTTCTGAGAAATTTTGTGAAAAAGATGTTGAATTACCTACCTCCATACCAGGAATCTTTCCAGTTCATGTTTCATGTGGATGCTTTGGAGTCTTGGACGTTTTTTGGAACTTTCACGATGATTCTGTCGATATTTCCCGCTGTTTCTCGATGCATTTCTCTTGAATTTATGTTCATTGGCGTTAAAAACCTAAAAAAAGTTAGTTGAAATACAAAGTTTTCCGTATTTATGAGTCGCGTCGCGGTGAGAGGGGCGTCGCGCGCGAAGGAATGTAGCAGGATGCATCAGTAGGTAA